AGGGCCACCGTAAACCAGGCTCCCGCACCCCACCGGGGGTGCTGGGGCACTATACACCATGCCCTGCACGCCCCGCCAGCTCCCCCTGCCCCTCGCTTGCCCCCAGCCGCTGCCAGTGTCGCCACCCTTGGGGCCCCGCTCTCCTTTGCCAGCACAGCCCCCGGTAATGGGCACAAACCCCCAGATTTTGTCAACTTGGGCCCCTCATGGCCCAGCTGTCCCTGTTCACTTGTGCAGTTACCCACTACAGCAACGCTCCAACCACCACGGTGACTCGGTCTCCTACAGCTCTCGCCGTTGTCACCGCAGGCCCACAGGGGAGACAAGGAGCACAAGCAAACCTTTCCCAGCTCCTGGCAGTCCCAGGCTGCAGAACCAAGCCCTGCACAGGCAAGTTGATGAGAAGTGTGGCGGCTCAGGGGGGGAGTTCTTTATTCACGGCCTGGAGGAAGGAGCAAACTCTGGCAAGTCTACAATCAAGTAGGAAACACAATCAAGGAGGAAAACAAGCTTCATGGGATTCAGGATAAGCTTAAAAATGACTGTCAGCAGCAAATAGCCACTGTGCAAGAGCAACGTGTGCCCTCCCAAGGCACTGGCACCAGGGACACCTTTGGCTCCAGCAGCCCAGCACAGAGCCAGTGTGGCCCTGGCAGCTCTGCACCCTGCTCAGAAAGGGCTGATTTTCAGCTAGGCCTTGATTTACCCTCAGCTGTACAAAGAAAATAGACAGCATGAGGCTGGTGTGACAGACAGATGGGGGGTGGATGGACAACCGGACACCTCAGGCTCTCAGCAGATAGGTAGGCTTCCACCTCTGCTTCTGGGACAGGGACACCCCAGCCAAGCCTGCTCAGGGAGCAACTGCTCCAGCTAGGAACCCTCGGAGGGGATGGGGACATTTCCTGCTGCCAGCGGCCAGCTTAGGCCTTGTTCCTCTCCTCCAAGAGCTGCCTCCAGCATGAAGGCTGATGTCAGCCCACGGCAAGCTGACTTCTTCCCCCTCCCTTTTTGGGAGCTACTGCTGGGGGTCTCAGGCAGCTCTCAGGCCGAGATGAGGAAGAGGGGAGGAAGAAGATGAATATCTATGGGCAACACTGCATGGGACTTGGCAAAGACCAGGAGAACAACTCGGAGGAGACACAGGGAGACAGTGAACATCACAGCCTGCATGCCCTGTGCTGTCGCTGCACCCTCAGAAGAAAAGGCACAGAATGGGGGTGGGCTTGCTCCCCATCCAGCACCACTGGTGCTCCCTTCAAGGCGGACACAGGATCAGTGTCACCACCATCAGTCGCGGATCAGAGGTGGCAGCTCCAACTTGGGGAGACATCATCCCGAAATGTCCCAGAGCAGCAGCGTTCGGTCACGTTTTCTGTCCATCGGCCAAGCCCAGGCTGTTCGTCATTGATTTTTGTTTGCTCCCCAGAAATCTGCAAGACAGCAGGAAGGTGGATACACAGTCCTGCCAGGCAGCACCTGGGCAGGGGGACAAGGGGAGAAAGAAGACCTCCCTCCCAAAAAGTCCCAGGCCCCAGCTCCCTCCCCACCTCTGCAGTCAAAGAGAGCCCTGCGTGCAGCTCAACCGCAGCACGAGCTGCACTGGAGTGACTCACGTGAGGAAGAAAGAGGAGGCAGAGGCTGCTGGGACTCTCTGTGCCCAGTCCTGCTGGTAGGGCACAGAGGAGGGGCAGAATGTTGCTTCAGGGGACACTCAGAGGTGTCTGTCCTCAGACAAGCATCCTCCAGCAGAACAAGAGTTGTCACATCAACCGCAGGCTCAGAGGAAAATGCCCCCAAGTTCTCCTGCCCTTCCCAACCCATCCCTAGGACTGTTCACAAGGATTCAAGAGATGTTCCCCATGTTGCTCGGTGCCTGCTCTGATGACAGCATGGGGGGTGACCCTGTTCCACCTTTCTAAAGCAGAGGAAGGCTTGAGAAAATAGCTGCCAAGTCGAGGGCTGGCTGCCCTCAGCCAGAGCCCCTGACACCCAGCGCCTGCCCCCTCTTCCACCACACAGCTGCCTCAGGAGGGGCCAAGCCTGGTACCAGTACAAGATGACCCACGCACTTGAGGAAGGAAGGCAATGCCATACCCATTGGTATGGCAGCAGCAACAGGGTTTCTGACACGAGTCCTGCTCTAATCCCACAGAGGGGGAAATGCACGTCACCTAGAGTTTAGCAGAGGATGAAGCAATACCCAGCAAGCCGGGGAAGTTGTTGGCAGAGGTCAGCCAGCTCCCACCATCCACGACCAGGGTGGTGCCCGTCACGTAGGAGGAGAGGGGGCTCGCCAGGTACAGCGTGCTGTGGGCGATCTCTGTCTTGTTGCCTGCGCGCTGGAGGGGGATCGTGTCGAATCGTCTCTCTTCCTCAGCAAATTTCCCACCTAAGTGGTAGTAGAAAGAGTCAGCTGGGACCATGGGACCACCTGCCCACCACCACTCCCTGCCAAACACAGCAGCACTGCTTGCACAGGGCATGCTGGGAGCCCCAGGAAACCTAGGGGAGATCCTGGCACAGCCCTGGGGACAGCCCAGAGACAAAGGCCTGAGAAAAGGGTTAAAGGAGGGGAGCTCAAGCCTAGTGGTGGGATCTGCACTGCAACAGTGAGTTCAAGACAGGACCTTGGAAAACTTTCTCAGCCTCTGGAGCTGAACCGGCACTCCACTGATGGACCACAAGAGCTAAACCACCAGGCAGAGCAGCTGGCCAGACTGAGCTTTGGGGGAGCATGTTATATCATTGCATCAGAGAGCACAAAAAACTGCCACCTGACAGTGAAAAATCAGCGTGCTGAGGTACCAAGGAGGCAAGAAGGGCTGCTCCCCAAAAGAGACATGCCAGCCTAGTCACAGGACAGCTGCACCCAGCAGCCTCACATGCCCCCAAAACTGCATGGAACTGGTGATCCATCACAGCCCCCTCCCAGACACACCAGCAAGCCACCACTGAGGCAGAGACAGGAGCTCCAGGTTGGCTTACCCAGCCGCCGGTATCCCTCGGTGCCTGCAATGGGGCCTGGGGCCAAGCTGTTCACTCGGATGTTGTTGGGTCCCCACTCCACAGCAAGATGACGGGTCATGGCATCTGGGAAGGGATTACAACAGGAATGAGAAATGGAGAGCAGAGCCATTCCAGTGATTTTTGAGGGGTCAGGGGAGGTGGGTGCAAAAAGCCACAGGAGACTCTGGCCAAGAGAAAAATGCCCTAGAAAAGCCCTGGGGAAGAGCCTCATCCCAAACCCAGGCACACAGCAAACACATTGATTCATATTCACCTCTCCCAAGGACATCTTCCCATCCCAGTATTTGGGAACAACTGGCTTCCTTACTGGCCCCACACAGCTCGCAGAGCAAGGAGCGTTTAGGTACCTAGGGCAGCCTTAGCAGCACCAGCATGCACCTGGAGGGCCTGCCCTCGGTAGCTCAGGGTTGCCGTGATGTTAACGATGACCCCACCGTGGTCCTGGGGAAGGAAAGGAAATGTGGCATTAGGCAGGGAGCAGCATGAGGGATCATGTAGGGGAGTGGTGGGACAAGAAAGCTGGGCTAGGAGGGACAGTAATGTGCAGGCAAAGCCCCCTCTGCTTTGCTAACCCATCACAGGGCAGCCAGCAGGGCCCTTCCAGAGGACAAGAAAAGGCCAAGGGAAAGCAGAGGAGCTGGAAAAGGAGCAGCAGATCAAAGCTTGTTCCCTGGCAGGTAGCAGAGCATGGAAAGGTGCCACAACAAGCAAAGCCCCAGGTCTAGGGACAGGCAGGGTTCCCAGCTGCTGCACAGGGGCTGCCATCCCTGAGAAGGAACAGACCGGACCCGAGCAGGGTGGGTGGCAGAGGCTCCCTGCTGTGCTCCCTTCTGCCCTCCACACTTCTCCGAATTTCTCCAGAGCCAAGTATAGTTTTAGACATAAACTCCCTGCCTACCAGAAGCCTCTCCACTGAGTCCTCTGGCTCCAGTCCCACTTACCCGGAAATACTTCTCAAAGAGAACTTTGGAGGTGTTGAAGGTGCCAATGGTGTCGATATCTATCACTGTCTTAAAGGCGTTGAAGGACAGGGCACTGGCTGGGCACAGAAAGTTTCCTGCAGCACCTGAAGAACAAGCAGCCAAAAGCACAGTCAGGACGGGGCCAGAAGGGATCAGGACAGGGCCAGGAGAGATTACAGAGGCTTGGGGCACTTCTGTGAGAAGTACAGTGAGCAATACTGTCTGGGCAGACTGGAGAGATGTAGCAACAGCTCTGATGATAAGGGTAACAGCTTGTGGCTCTGGGCGCCCAGCAGCATGGCTAGCCTGAGGGCAGGAGGGTACTGGTGCTGCTTCCTCTGAGCTCATTCCCTCTGCGCTCCCAGGGTCTGCCTAGATGCTCCCAGGCCAAAGCAGCAGCAGCCAGACACAAGGCAAACACAAGCCCTCTGCAGGAAAATTCCCCTCCTAGCAGTGAGTCCATACCAAATCCCCGCCTTGCCCACTCCAGCAGCTCACCATTAATGAGGATGTCAATCCGCTTGAACTCTTTCAGTGCCTCATCCACCGCTGCCACAATAGTTTGGGGCTGCCTGACATCTAAGGACAGGGGCAGGCACTGCTGCCCTGTGGCTGCTACAAGCTTTTTAGAGGCCTACAAAAAAACAGATAGGTGAGATTCTTTCCGAGACACTCTCCTTCAGCAAGGGTTAGACCCAGACCTTGTAACAGGCGAGCAAGAAGTTAGGCAGGAGGTGTGTGGCAGGGGAGAGACCTGCCTAAACACGGCTAGCTTCAGTCTGGCAGCTCCCTGCAGCTGAAGGCCTGGGGTAGCCAGAGAAAGCTCCTGCAGTTGTGTCCCAGCCAAACACCAGGCTGGCCCTGAGGCCGCAGCTCGCTAAACCCAGTTACCTCTGAGGCCTGCCTTATCAGCGACAGCACATCCTGAGCAACATCTCTGCAGGGCAAGTACAAAGGTTGGACCCCAACAGGGCATTTTTGGCATGAGCCCAGCCATAATTAACGTTTAGATCCAGGAATGTCAGCAGGCAACAGGGCAAACAGAAACCAGCAGTTGCCAGTCTCTGCCTGCAAGGCAGAGCAGACCAGCTCTGCAGCTCAGCATCTGCTACAAACCACCCCCAAGGCGCTCATTAGGAACACGACTCTCCCCAGCAAATTAAGCTCCAGGGATAAGAAAAGTCAGCAGCAATCCTGCACAACACCCAGTGATGTTCCACGTTCCTGTTTGGGCTTGTGGGGCCCTTGAGGAGCTTTGAGCTCTGACTGGCACACACGTACAGCGAGCAACAGGAACCTGGGGAAGCAGTTCTGTCCCTGGGTATTTAGAAGGCCCCAGCCCCAAGAAACAAAAAAGCTGCTGAGCTTCGCAGCTTGTTTTCTGGCTTGTGACCATGAGGAAATGTGAAATGACAACATCAACCCCCTCCAGGAGGCAGCAGGGCCATGCCAGCTCATTCCCCAGCATCAGTTTCCATCTTTACTATATTTCAGTGAAGTTCACACACAGCTGCTGCACAGCTCTCTCATGGCTGCTTTCAGGCTGAGACTGTGGCACAGGTCACAGCAAGGAATGGAAACTGTGATCAGCCAAACCCCAGCCCAGGGTCAGACACGCAGGGGTGGGTGTTTGTTCTGCCCAGCCATCAGTGCAGCAGAGCTTCATCAGTGACTGCTTTCCAGACCTCCATCCTCCCCTCATCTCAAGGTGCAACATAATTGAGATTCTGGGGCTCAGAGTAACCTCCCCTCAACCCTTGGACAAGGAGGACTGCTCAAGGCTGAGATTTGAGTCTGACCTTGGGCTCCACCACTTCCCTGCTGACAAACCTTCCTCACAGCTTGTTTCTCTCTGTCTCATCAACAAAAAGACAATGCGATACCTGGAACAGCTCCCAAAGCTGGTGGGGGAAGGTAGTAAGTTCCACAATTAATTGAGCTCTGCTCTGCAGCCCACCCTAAACCCACACCCATCCTGCCCATCACCACTGCCTGCTGATACTGAAGTACTCAGAGCCAGGAGAACGCAGAGTAGCATGGATGAGCCATTTCTCCTGTTGCACTACTCCCAGGGCTTCCAGCTCCACCCAGAGGAGAGGGCAGAAGGATTTCTAGGTGTTCACAGCTCTCCCTACTGCTACCTGTACCTGTTGAGCCCATGGACTCACCTCTGACACTCGTTGCAGGTTCCGGCTTGCAATGACTGTCCGACAGCCGTGCCTGCAAAGAGGAGGCTGGTGAGAAGGACCACATAGTGCCAGCTCCTCACAGACCTCTAGATGTTACCAGGAGTTTGGTCAGTGGGAAGTGGCTCAACACTCTTGGAGGGGAGGAACTGGTACTCCTCCAGGAGAGTCACAGTACACTACAGACCCACCGCAGCGCTGTGACACGGTCAGCCCCAGCCTCCCACATCCCCATGAGACACCAGAGCCTGCAGCAGAAAGGGCTGCCCACAACTCCTGCCCTCACAAGTGCTCTGTCACCCCCAGCTCCGCACTCCACCGCTGAAAGGCCCCGTTACCCCAGCCTTCTCAAAGGAAGCGAAGCTTCACCGCTCTGTCCCATCGCCAGCACCCCAGAGGCCACAGCC